AGACTAGTCTGGTTATGAACATAGATGAACAACTCCTAAAAAATATTAGCAAAAGGAATCTGGTTGTGTGGAAAGTTGTTTTTGCATTAGAAACTCAGTAAATATATTTTATCACGTTAGCAGATTAGGAAAAAAGTTCAAATGGGCATCTCAATGTATAAAGACAAAGATAAAATTCAATATCCATTCAGATCATACAGTTCTTAGCAAACTAGATCTATGGGGGGAGGAGGCTTTTTTAATCACATAAAAGGTTAGTCTCCATGCCCCCCCCCCAAGAAAATCCTACAAAACCAACCAGCTAAGCATACTAAGATGAAATATTGACTTCTTTTCTCTGAAGTTGGGGGACAAGTCATTGATGCCCACTGTGGCCATTGTTCTTAAACATAGTTCTAGAAGTTGTAGCCAATGCAGTAAGACAAGAGAAGGAAAAAGTATAACTGCTGAAATAAATAAAACTGTCATTACTTGTAGATGATACAATTGTGAAAATGATTTATCCATAGATTCTTGTGAGTTTTTAAGAAAGTATAAAAAGTGTGACTATAAAACGGTTTTAAAAAATCAATTTCATTTTTTATATAATAACAAACCTTTAGACAATGAAATTAATAGCAAATGCCATTTATAATAATAGGATAAAAACCTAGGAAATTCCTGAATTAAATCTGATTTTAAAAAGTACAAGACCTCTAGGGAAACTACGAAACTTAATAGAGAATATGTTATACATGAATGTATGCCTGAGTATGTGTTGTAACTTGAAAATCTAACTTTAAATTTGTGTGAAAATACAAATTATCAAGAATAACTAAGACAGTCTTGTAAAAGAACAGGATGGGATAACTTGGCTTGCCAGGTATTGAGATGTATTACAAAGCCATAGTAATTAAGATGTGTGACTGGTATAAGGATAAACACATGAACTGACGGAACAGAAGAATAGAGAGCCCAAATTAGATCCACTCATATGTGGACACTTAGTCTCTGATTGCTGAGGAAAGAAAAGCTTTTTAAATAAATCATTCTGGAAAAGTTGAATATCCATGTAGTAAAAGTAAATGCACTTCCCTGTCTTTCACTGTGTACAAAAAAATAAACATCAGTTCTAGATGGTTAGTGACCAGAATGTGAAAGGCAAAATGTATAAAGCTTTTAAGAGCTTTATAAGATAATATAGGAGAATGCCATTATAACTTCAGTATCAGGAAGGATTTCTTAACCGGGATATAAGAAGCACTAAAGGAAAAAATTGATAAATTAGACTACATTGAAATTATAAACTTGGATTTATCAAAAGATGCCATAGAGAGAGTGAACAGGTAGTCTCAGACTGGGAGAAAATGTTTGCAATATACAACTGAAACACAGTAGTATCCAAAATGTATGAAGAATGAATTAGTAACTTTTACCATGAGGGTAGATGGTGGGGAGAGGTTGTGATGGGGTGGGAATCCCCAGGAGGCTCTGCTTGGTTTCCAGTGTTCTCATTCTTGAGAAGATAGTGTTACTTTTCTTGAAAGTGAATATGTTTTGTGTATTTATCTGTGCATAAGTACATCTCTTAGCAAAAAAAATGGGAAGAAATAAAAACAAGGAAGAAATACATTACTGACTGTATTAGTTTGCTAGGGCTACCATAACAAAATACCACAGAAATTCATTTTCTCACAGTTCTGGAAGCTGGAAGGCCAAGCTCAAGATGTCAGCAGGTTTGATTTCCTCCGAGGTCTCTGTTCTTGGCTTGAAAATCGCCAGTTTCTCACTGTCCTCACATGGTCTTTCCTCTTGGAACTTCCCTGTTGTCTGTGTGCAAATTTCCTCTTCTTAGAAGGACACCAGTCAGACTGGACTAGTGCCCACCCGAAGGGCCCCATTTAACTTGATTGCTGCTTTAAAGGCCCTGCGCCAACTGTAGTCACTTTCTGAGGTATGGGCATTAGGGGCTTCAACATAAGAATTTTGGGGGACATAGTTCAGCCCATAACACTGATTATGTGGTAAAGATCTGGGATAACAAATGGGTTCTTGTGATTTGGATAAAATTTCCTAAGCCAATTTTTGGATTCAAAAAGTGTTAAATCTAAAAAAATCTGAGACAGAAGTAAAGATGTACTCTAAAGAACAGTGTTAAGTGACTCAAAATATGGATTTAGTGCTGATGATGTTAATTATGCATGTGTGAACTTGGAATACAGTTGTTTTTTGAAAATGTAAAAGTGATAAAAAAGCAATTTCTAGATTAAAGTTTTTTACTACTGTATTTTACATAAATACTTTAAATGTATAACCAAATGAATAAATGTAATATTATAAGTAGAACTCTTAGTCTCATCTCCATCCCTGACATTTATAAATTGTAGTTGGCCAAAAATTTTTAAAAATCTTTTCACTGGGAAAAGAGAGGATGGATTTTAGTTGGTCATAGATGGTAATTTTAGCACACTAAGCTCTTCTATAATGCAATATGTGCATTCCTAAAAATCGTTATGTAAAACCATGCAATAAAACCACGGGGCTTATGGGACAATGGGGCCACAGCACTCAAGAATTTTGTCAGTAATACTTAAAAGGAGAGGGACCTAATAAAAAACAGCAGTGTACTTTTATAAATAGTATGGTGATAAGTAAATACTTAAATAGTTAAGAAATGAGTAAATACTACGATAAAATGGCACTTTACCTTGAAAGAAACCTGGCTTTTTCTTAGGGAAGCAGCATTGAACGGCCATAGAATGTGAGTTATTGTGAAGTGATGGAAGGAGGGTCTCTAAAATTGGAGGGAAAGTTGTTAGAGCAGGGGTGGGTGGGTGTAACTCGTAACGGGGGATAACCTGAAGTGGCTGGTAGATGTTTGAGGGTCGAATGTGTTTTGTGTGTTCCTACATGTCTGTTCACCTGGGTGCGATTTTCTGTGTTTGTGTAGGATTTTTCACAGATAAAATTTATGCATAAGACACTAAATTATGGCTGTGCTCACATTGTTTTTTTAATGTATCAATTATGTTGGAACAGATTTGTGTTTTCAAATAGCATTATAGCAGAACTTATTTTTTAATATCACATGACCATCTTTTTTTATTTCTATATGCATTTTAAGGATTGTGACTTAAGCTGTTTTTACTGTAGTTTTGAAATGATTGCCTAATATTGATTGCTACATAATATTTGAGTGCATTTGTGAATTTTAAGCTTTTCAGACTTACAAATAAGTAATTTGAATGTGGAATCATGCTGGGCTCGGTGGCTCAGCCTGTAATCCGCACCATTGGGAGGCTGAGGTGAGTGGATTGCCTGAGCCCGCGAGTTCAGGACCCGCCTGGGCAGCGAGACCTCATCTCTACAATAAATCAAAAAATCAACCGGGCGTGGTAGTGCATGCCTGTAATTCCGGCTCCTCAGAAGGCTGAGGCGGAGGATCGCCGGAGCCCAGCAGGTCGAGGCTGCGATGGCCGGGAGCGGCCACTACACTCCGGTCTGGGCGACCGAGTGAGACTCCAACTCAAAAAAAAAAGAATGTGGTATCAGATTTTTGCTTGAGTCTTGTGGTGATTCCATATGACACACACAGAAACATCGTTCTTTTGTTTGAAGCAGGCACATTCGTTTTAGTGACCTCTCTGTTTTTCATGTTCTATTAGGATACCTTTAATACTTAATGTTTACCAGTATAAAAGGAAGCTTATAGGCCCTTGTGTTTTAGGAGTCCTTCCCATCCACTTGTTGCTTTTATTGACTGGCTGTTTTATTCCAAAGCTTAACAACAACAGGTTTCCAGGAGACGTCTTAGTTCTTTGACTGTCTAACCCTCCTTTGGTCTGTTTGGTTGGTGACAGTGAGAGTGCATACTTGTAAACACTTGTTGTTTTCCTAGCCTTCCACCATGAAACCTCTTTGGTTCACTTTCAGGACCTTCATTTTCAGTCTCTGAGTCAGAAAATCAGCTTTCACTCCTAGTGTTTCCATTTCTCTCTCCTATCTAGGCATTCCTTTTTTCCTGCAGTGCTCTGTGGACACATGCCTGTTGTGGAATATATCCCATTGTTTTGGAGTTTTGCAAAATCGTGTTCTCTAAACAAATTGTGTGCTTCTTGAGGGCCCAGACCATATATTTACCAGTTATACATTCCTGTTACATAACACGGTGCTTGGCTGTGGTGGTTGGGTGACTGGATGGTGAATGAATAGAGTAGCTTAAAGAAAACCGTCCTTATGGTTCTGTTATGTATGATTTCCCTTCACTTTGATTATGTCACATGATTTCTAGATATCTTTATCACTTGAACTTTAATAATATGAAGCAGGCTGTGCATTCAAACTTTTTGTCAGTATAATGCAGAAATTTGTTTTGTAGACCAAAGATTGTATACCATCTGTGTTTTTTCGTTTGTTTTTGACTAAAATAGGTTCAAAAAACAAACAAGGATTGCAGTTTTTTGACATAATAGAGCAGTGAAATCCTATATTTTTCTTCTTGATATTATAAATTGCAACATTTACTTTTGAAATTTTCAAATAGTTACATACTCATTAAATAGGATAAGCTTTTGGATTTGTTTATTCGTTTGAGTTGAGGTCTTACTCTATTGCCCAGGCTGGAGTGCAGTGGCACGATCATGGCTCACCGTAGTCTTGAACTCCAGGGCCCAAGCAGTCCTCCCACCTCAGCCCCCCAAGTAGCTGGAACAATAGACAGATCCACACCACCATGTCTGGTTAATTTTGTTGATTTTTTTTTTTTTTTTTTTTGGTAGAGACGAGGCCTTGCTGTGTCTCCCAGGCTGGTCTTGAACTCCTGGCTCAAATAAGCCTCCTACCTTGGCCTTTCACAGTGCTGGGATTATAGGTGTGAGCCACTGTACTAAGCCAGATCAAACTTAAAGGAGCAGGGGGAGTTCTTTTATGATAATAAGGACAATGGGTTATGGCTCAATATTGATTATTACCACTATAAGCAACTCTTCAGATTATATTTAAGCCTTTCTGTTTCTTTATAGGACCTCTTCGTTGTCAGACATGAATTGGCCATAATGAGACTAGCTGCCTTTATGGGCATTACAATGTTAGTTGGAATAACTGGACTCTTTTATACTCAACTAATTGGCATCATCACAGTAAGTATATTTTTAATGTGAAGTAACAGATGAGTATATTACTAGTTAGGAATTAATTCTAAAAAGTCACAGAAAGCTTAGAAATTGAAGGAGAAAATTACCTGTAATTTTTAAATATATTTTTATTTTCATATGCCTATGTAATTTTAAAGTACTTATCATCAGGTACAGAGTATACATACAATATTGTGTGTCCTGCTTTGTTTATAGCTTTTTTCTTATTGATACATAATATATTACATATTTATGGGGTACGTGTGAGTTTTTGTTATATGCATAGAATATGTAATGATCAAGTTAGAGCATTTGAGGTCTTCATTACTTTGAGTATGTATCATTTCTTTGTGTTGGAAACATTTTAAGTCCTCTCTTCTAGCTACTTTAAGATATCCAGTGCATTGCTGCTAACTGTAGCCACCCTACTATGCTATTGAACTGTAGAATTTGTTTCTTCTTACTGTGTGTTTTTAACTATTAACCAAATTCTCTTCATTCTGCTCTCCCAACGAACACCTTTCCCAGCCTCTGGTATTTATCATTCAACTCCCTACCTCCGTGAGATCAACATTTTAGCTCCCACTTATGAGTGATAACTTGTGGTATTTGTCTTTCTGTACCTGACTTATTTCACTTTGCATAATGACCTCCAGTTGCACCCATGTTGCTGCAAATGACAGGATTTCATTTTTTTAAATGGCTGAATAGTGTTCCATCGTGTGTATATATTATATTTTCTTTGTCCATTCCTCTATTTGTGGGCGCTTAGGTTGATTCCATATCTTTGCTGTCGTTGATAGTGCTGTGATTAACATGCGAGGGCAGGCATCCCTTTGATGTCCTGATTTTTTCTTTCCTTATCCAGTAGTGGGATTGCTAGTTCGATTTATAGTGGCAATTTGATTTTTAGTTTTTGAGAAATCTCCATACTGTGGCTGTTCTAATTTATACTCCTACCAATAGTATATAAAGAGTTTCCTTTCTCCTCTTCCTGTCAGCATTTGTTACTTTTTTGTCTTTCAACAATACCTGCTCTAAGTGAGATAAGGTGACCTCTCCCACTGTGGTTTTGATTTGCCTTCCTCTGTTGATTGATGATGTTGAGCACTTTTACATATATCAGTCAGCCATTTGTATGTCTTTTAAAACGTGTATTAAGCCGGGCTCAGTGGCTCAGCCTGTAATCCCACGCCTTTGGGAGGCTGAGGGGAGTGGATGGCCTGAGCCCGCAGGTTCAAGACTTACCTGGGCAGCAAGACCTCATCTCTACAATAAATCAAAAAATCAGCCGGGCGTGTTAGCGCATGCCTGTAATTCTGGCTACTCAGAAGGCTGAGGTGGAAGGATCTCCAGAGCCCAGCAGGTGAGGCTGCGGTGGCCGGGAGCGGCCGCTGTCCTCCTGTCTGGGTGCCAGAGTGGGACACCAACTCAAAAAAATAAATAAATAAATACATAAATACATGAAACATGTGTATTTATGTCCTTTACCCATTTCTAATGGGATTATTTGGTTTTCTTATGGTTGACTTGTTTGAGTTTCTTGTACATTCTGAATAGTAGCCCCTCATTGGATTGGTAGCTTGCGATTATTTTCTCCAATTCCACATGTTGTTTCTGTGGATTCTTTCTTTGCCACGCAAGAGCTTTTTGGTTTCACAGAGTCCCATTTGTCTCTATATGTTTTTGTTCTCTGTCCTTTTGGGGTCTTAGCTACAAAATCTTTGCTTAGACCAATGTTCTAAAGTTTTTTTCCTATGTTTTCTTATAGTAGTTTCATAAATGTGGGTCTTATGTTTAAGTCTTTAATATATCTTGAGTTAGTATTTGCATATGGTGAGAGATAGGAGTCCAGTTATTCTTTTGCATATAGATATTTAGTTTTCTTAGCATTTATTAAAGAGACTGTCTTTTTTCCGTGTATGTTCTTGGTGTCTTTATCAAAGATTTGTTGGCTATAAATGTGTGCATTTATTTCCAGATGTTCTATACTGTCCCATTGCTCTGTTTTTATACCAATACCATGCTCTTTTGGTAACTATAGCTTTGTAATATATTTTGAAGTCTGGTAGTATGATGTCTCCGGCTTTGTTCTTTTTGCTCAGGATTGCTTTGACTATTTAGGCTCTTGTTTGGTTTCATATGAACTTCAACGTTTTGGTTTTTTTTTCAGTTCTGTGAAAAATGTTGTTGGTATTTTGATAGGGATTACATTAAATCTGTAGATTGCTCTGGGCAGTATGATTATTTTAACAATATTTTTTCTTCTGGTCCATTAGCATGGGGTGTCTTTCCATTTGTTTATGTCTTCTTTAATTTCTTCCATCAGTGCTTTGTAGTTTTTGTTGTAGATATGTATATATATTTTTTACCTCCTTTGTTACGTTTATTTCTGGGGTTTTTTTTATAACTATTGTAAATGGTTTTGCCTTTTTGATTTATTTCTCAGTTAGTTCATTATTGGTATATAGAAACGCTGCTAATTTTTCTATGTTTATTTTGTATCCTGTGACCTTATTGAATTTATCAGATATAAAAGTTTTTGGTAGAGTGCTTAAGTTTTTCTTGATATAAGATTGTATAATCAGCAAAGAGGGACAGTATAATTTCCTTTTTTCCAGTTTGAATGCCTTTTATTTATTTCTCTTGCTTGACTTCTCTGTTTAAGTACTTCTATTACTGTGCTGAATATGAGTGATGAAAGTGGACATCTTTGTTTTGTTCCAGTTCTTAGAGGAAAGGCTTTCAGCGTTTTCCCATTCAGTATGCTGTTATCTGTGGATTTGTCATATATGGGCCTTTATTATGTTGAGGTATGTTCCTTCTATGCCTGGTTTATTAAGCGTTTTTTTTTTTTTTTACCATGATGGGATGTTAAATTTTATCAAATGTTCAGTTGAGTGAGTGATCATATGTATTTTGTTCTTCATTCTGTGGATGTGGTATATCACGTTTATTGATTTGTATGTTGAAGCATTCTTGCATTCCTGGGATAAATCCTACCTGATCATAGTACTTTTTTTTTTTTTAATGAGTTGTTGGATTTGTTTTGCTAGTATTTTGTCGAAGATTTTTGTGTCTGTCTTCATCAGGGATTTTGTTCTATAGTTTTCTTTTTTGTTACTGCTTCTTTTCCTGGTTTAGGTATCAGAATAATACTGACTTCATAGAATGTGTTGGGGAAATTCTTCCCTCTTCAATTTTTTGGAATAGTCTAAGGAGAATTAGTGGCAGTTAGCTGTGTTTTCAGTGGTTCGCAGAATTGGCAATGAAGCCATCCAATCTTGGACTTTGCTTTGTTGGGAGACTTTTTTACTGTTTTGATATTATTACTTATTCTTGGTTTGCTCAAGTTTTCTGTTTCTTCCTGATTCAATTTTGGTAGGTTGTATGTGTCCAGGAACTTATCATTTCTTTTAGGTTTTCCAGTTTGTTGTTCTACAGTTGTTCATGATAGTCTCTGATGATCTTTTGTATGTCTTTGCTATCAATTGTAATGTCTTCTTCATTTCTGATTTTATTTATTTGGATCATCTCTGTTTTTTTCTTGGTAAATCTAGCAAGTGGTTTACTTATGTTGTTTATCTTTTTAAAAATCTACTTTCTGTTTTGTTGCCTTTTTGCATTTTTTTAGTCTCTATTTCTTTCAGTTCTTATCTAATCTTATTTCTTTTATTAATTTTGGGCTTGGTTTGTTCTTCCTTTTCTAGTTCCTTGAGGCACATCACTAGACTGTTTATTTACAGGCATGTTTTGCTGCAGACTACCCTCCTAGCACTGATTTTGTTGTATCCCATTGGTTTTGTTATACTGTGTTTTCATTTTCAATTGTTTCAGGAAAGTTTTTTATTTTCTCCTAAATTACTTCCTTGACCCTGTGGTTGTTCAGAAGCATGCTGTTTAATTTCTATGTATTTGTACAATTTCCAAAGTTTCTCCTGTTATTGATTTATATTTTCCATTTTAGTCTGAGAAGACACTTGTTATGTTTTCAGTTTTTTAATGTATATTGAGACTTGCCTTGTGTCCTAACATATGGTCTATTCTGGAAAATGCTCCATTTGCTGATGGTATATTCTATAACTACAAAATGTTCTATAAATATCTGTTAGGTCCAGTTGGCTAAAGTACAGTTTAAATTCGATGTTTCTTTGTTAATTTGCTTTCTAGATGATCTGTCTAATGCTGAGAGTAGGGTATTCAAGTCTCCAACTATTATCGTATTGGAGTCTGTCTTTTCCTGTGGATTCATTAATATTTGGTTCATATATCTGGGTGGTCTGGTGTTGGGTGCATATATGTTTAGAATTGTTATATTCTCTTTCTGGATTGATACTTTTATCATTATATAATAGCCTTCTCCGTCACTTCTTACTGTTTTTTACTTTAAGTCTGCTTTATCTGATATAAGTTTAGCTACCCTTGCTTACTTTTGGTCTCTGTTTGCATGGAATATCTTTTTCTGTCCCTTTACATACAGCCTATTTGTGTCTTTACCGTGGACTTGAGTTTCTTGTAGACAGTATATAGTTGTGTTATTTTAAAAAATCCATCCAGAAAGTCTGTATTCTTTAAGTGCAAAGTTTAACCTTTACATTCACGGTTATTACTGATATGTGAGAGCTTACTCCTGTCTTTTTATTAAATGATTTCTGGTTGTTTTATATATCCTTTGTGCCTTTCTTTCTGTTGTATTATTTATTGTTGTGAGTTGCTAGTTTTCTGTAATGATAACATAGAGGTCTTTCTCTTATTTGTATGTTTGCTCTACTAGTGTGTTTTATACTTTTGTGTTTTTGCATAATGCTAGATCTTGTCCTTTCACTTTCAGGTATAGAACTCTTTAGAATTTCTTGTAGGGACAATCTAGTGGCGACAAATTCCCTCAGCTTTTTTGTCTCAGGAAAGACTTTATTTCTCCTTCATTTTTAAAGACTACTTTGTTGGGAATAGTCTTTTTGGCTGAAAGTTTTTTTTCCCCTGCATTTTGGACATAGCATTCCATT